TAGTACCCGACAGGTACTCTATGAGGTTGGCCAGGTGAGTGGGTCTCAGCCTCTCTATCTCCGAGGCTTGCCGGTACACATCAAACGCTTCCGTGAATTTCCCCCCGAACGCGAGCGCGTCAGCCCGCTTCACCATCAGCTCCCGCCGGCTCTGCGGATCTCCGAGACACGCCAGCTGGCACTCGTAGATGTCCGCGGCCAGGTCGAAGTTTTTCGACTTGAAAGCCTCTGCTGCGAGATGCAGCATGCTCTCACTCTCCGTCCCCATACAGAGCAGGCTGTCCGAAGCGTATCAGCTCATCTACGTGGTGCATGTCTGCACCCCAGCTGCTGCCATTCACGTCTGTCCCCTCCGCTGCAAACGACTGACAACTCTGCACGTTCATGCCCTAGTCCAGGAAGGACCGATATTATTCTCAATGGACCATGACGAGGAGGTGAAAAAAAAAACTGTTATGTAAAAGTTGTGTCACGTGACGCCGGCCAGCTGTTCTCATTGGACGAGTTTGGAAAACTGTTACAAAACAATCTGCCATGTAACAGTTTCAGTGTCGGGGCCATGGGGCGGGATGTCTGACCTGCATGCTGGTTTCTTGTAAACAGTGACCAGGGTTCCCAAAGAATGACACCATTTAGTGGGACGACATGTAATCGATCTCAATTGACCAAGAGTATGAAAATTTGTTGTAGTGTCACAGATTTGACATGGTTCAGCATGTATTTTAGTGTGTCTCATACTATCTCATACTAGTGACAATCTGAAAAGAGAGCATGTCAGGCTGTTTTTAAAATGTGCTTTAATTTGTTCAAGTTTTCAGTAACATTTTCTTATAGAAAAGATTTCTTCATTTAGGCATTCCAAAGTAAATAACCCATGTGTGCGGAATTTTATAGAACATTACTTCCTGTTCCAGTTGCGCTTACACAAGAAACTGTCAAATGCATGCCCTGCTAACAGCTGTTGTCAGCATCTTGTTATGTGTCTAACAAAACTGAGTTACATAAATATTCTTTTATTTAACTTCTGGGCAAAAAAAAAGAAATTCACATATTCCTTTTTTTCCCATTACAAAAATAAAGGAAAAACAAAATCCAAAATATTAAAAAAGAGAACAAAAGAAAACACAATATCTTAGCCATCACCTCCTTACTGCGTGATTTTAGTGGCTGTAATTACCCATCCCACACACCGCCACCATAAAACAGATAAGATATGGAGGTTTCCCACGTGTTACCAGCTTCAAGGTAACCATTGGTCATGGAATCATAACTAAAAGGTACTGACCTCCATATTTTGCAAGAAATGCAGACGGTGAATGTATTTTTTGTGGAGGAAGGTAGGATTTTTCTTTGTAAATTTGATGTAAATGATCAAAACTGGTCTTAACAACTGTGGTCGGTTGTATTTCGAATGTAAAAGCCATTTTAAAAAAAACTACCAACACCGAGGAGCAATAAGAAACAAGGGGGGCAGGGACATCCATTAACCAGTCCAGATGAGGGACAATTTCCAGATACAATCATTTTGGTCTTGTTGACATTAAGGGGGGAAAATTTAGTGTTAACCAGTGTTTGCTATCTTATAGACAATCAAACAGAAGCGTCAGTGGGATAGAGGCATCAAATCTAATAGGGAAATATATTTGGATGTCATCAGCAAAACAATGAAAGGGAATATTGTGTTTCCTGAAAATTGATTCTAGAAGCAGCATAACATCAGAACCACCTGCCTGTTCTTGTGCCGGTCCCCCTTTTCTGCCAAAACAGCCCTGATCCATTGAAACATGGACTCCACTTGGTCCCTGAAACTGTGCCGTGGTATCTGGCATCAAAATGTCATCCACAGATCTTTTTAGTCCTATAAGCTGCGAGGTGGGGACTCAATGAATCAGACTTGTTTGTCCAGTACATCCCACAGATGCTCAATTAGACTACGATCCTGGGAATTTGGAGACTGCGTCAAAACCCCAAACACATTGTTGTGCTCCTCAAAGCATTCCTGAACCATTTCTGTTTTGTGGCAGGACACATTATCTTGCTGAAAGAGACCACAGCCATCAGGAAATCCTGCTTGCATGGTCTTTAGAAATGACATGTACAACCTTATGTAAGTTGTACGTGTGAAATTTACAGCCACATTGATGGAAGGGCCGAGGTTTCCCAGCAGAACATTGCCCATTGTCCAGTTCTGAGGCTCAAGTCCCCATTGTTGGTGGATAGGGGTCAGTACGGGATCCTTGAATGGTCTGTGGCTATGCAACCCCATACCCACTGTGTATTCTGACATCTTTCTGTCAGAACCAGCATCAACGTTTTCAGCAATTTGAGCTACAGTAGAATGTCCACATGGGCATCTGTGAGCTTTGGCATTCCATGACCCTGTCACTGGTTCACCTGTTTCGATAAATACTGACTGCTGCAGAATGACAGCTGCAGTTTTGGAGATGGTCTGACCCCGCTGGACACTGTTACCACAGATTTGCATTGAAGGCCCTGTCACTTTATACTAAGTTGTAATTCCATCTCCTCTTCTAATTTTTCTTATCTTAAACTTGATAATGCTCCATACAGATTGGAAATTGGATCCCTACTGTGACCTCTGACCTGAATCTTTATTAAGCACCTTTAGATAGGTGTACCCACATATTTAGACGCGTATTTAGAATGTTTTTATTCCCTAACACGTGGTATTTGTATAATATTTAATTGTAAAATCAAGATATCCATGACTTCTGTCACTGATCTGGAGGAGTTGGAGTAATTTTAACTATACACAGAGTTCTGACAGAAGGCAGTCTGAGAAATATGTATCCTCTACATGTCCAACACACGGATCTCAGGGAGACTGGGAAATGAATGCTTTTGCTGAGAAGCACTTTGACTATGTGAGTGGACTCTGTTGGCTGGCACAGATGTGAAGCTCACAGCACAATAATTACTGCGGGGAAACCGCTCGGCTCTGACATCTGATGACAAAGCTGTTAATTATTATTACAACCCCGTCACATCCTGTCATTGATCCTCAGATGGTGACACAAGGCGTAAAAGAGCAGATGTTAAGATATCAAACTGTGACACGGCCAAGATGGGTTGCTTTGATAACTGTGACAGCTCGCCAAAGCTTTGAAGATTAGCCAGAGATTGTTGCATAAAAGTGTTTGCACAAGGACAAAAACAAGGCTAAGTAGCACCTTAAAGTGTTTTTGTACTGATGCACATTATTAAAATGACATGTTAGCAGATAATATTCTACTACGGTATAGGTCTGAAGAGTATGGCAGGTTCTTTGTGACTGCAGGTGTGTAGTATTATATCAGCTCACTCTTAATGACAGACTACATAACTTCTGATGGAGGAATAAAAGACACCTTTGGTTATTTCGGTCTACTAAGGGGCATTTGCCATCATCCTCTAATTATGACTTCTGGCCAGTGTGGGTGGTGTTCAGAGTTAACCATAATTAGAAGTAGGTTAAGGCTTGAATTTAAGGACTGTAGTTAAGGGATTGCCTTCTGCATGTTTTTGGATACAAGCCCACGTGGTATTATTAGCCTCACCTGAAGTCTATCAGCCGTATTTCCTGTAGGGTTGAAATAAAACTTGTGTGCTAAAAGGCGTTTAGAGTGTGTGTGAGCAGGGATTAGCGGCGAGCGAGCCAGTCGGTGTCGATCTCAGTAGGTCGGCCAGTCTGGCCTGTGAACTCAATCCCGCACACAGACAGAAACGCAGGCTGACGTGAGCCTGCACACCGCAGCAGACACAGACACGCTGACACACATGCAGAAACAGACGTTCTGACATATATGCAAACCAGGACACGGGCAGAATATTATGCAAGCACGTGGACATATGCTTACTTTGCCCGGACACACACACACAATCACACACAGTACTGGGAGATTCTCTTGCTCCTTCTCACCTTGAACTGTCATTGGGTGCCTCTAAATAGGCCAATAGTCAACCCCAGTGCAGACCGTCTGGACGTTGGATAGCCTGCTCATTTAGGACACACAGTTATCCTCAAAGTCACCTCTTCAGACTTTTAAACAACGTCTTGCTCGGATAGAGAGATAGCTGGATATTTGCATGATGGCTGCCAAGTCTGCACTTTGAGAGTTTCTAAAAGAGTCACTGTTCATTTGTTGACAGTGAAAATATATTATGAGGTATTGGATCATTTGGGAAAGAATGCATAAACACAGACTAATGATACTGTAGGCATGAGAGGACCGCTTGTAGCAAACGTCTTTAATCTGATTTGATCTTGGAAATGTGAAGTTGAGGTACTGGATGTACTGAGACTTGTGACTATGAAAATAACATTTTTGATTTTTTTTTCTTCTCAAAATGTTTTCCTAAGAAGAGAAATGACTTTTCAGTGGGTCTGTTTGTTGGTTAAAGATAGAATTGTGTTTGTAAGGATGAATTTGTGGTCTTTTTTTTTTTATTAGAAATCAGATGGGATTGTTAAGAACAGCCTTGTTATAAAGAATATTCCCATCAAAATACTAAAAAAAAAACAACATCTGCATAGTATTTATTATTAACTGTAATTATTAAAGATGCTCTGTGTAGATCTTTTAATGGGACCTGTTATGCTCATTGTCAACTCCACATTTTTATTCAGTTCATCCACTCTTTGAAACAAGCCACTCTAGCTCCTCCCACTTTAAGCCATGCTTTCTTCTGATTGGCAGCCCCTCACAACCAGAAGGGTTGATGGGGCTACTGTGCTCAAAGTCAGAGCTGTCTGACTGAGGATATCTGCCCTCAGTGATGTCATACAGAGCCAAAAGATTTTTTAAAAGTTAATTAGTTGTGCACATGCTGACTTCATTACCTCAAACTTCAATATAATTCAATATTAGCATCCACCATCTTATTAGAATATATATACATACGGGGTGAAAGGGAAATTAGATCTCAATTTTTAACATTCATCACAGTGTGAGTTCATTCCCACAGGGTGTCACCGTCTACATGGTGTTAGGGCTCAGAGTGAGTGTAACAGTCACTCACCAGTTCCACTACTCAGCATATTTGCCTTCATTCAACTTTGTCTGTTTTAAGTTTTCACTCACCGGAGGAGATCGAGCAGGCGAGCAACTACTGGGTTTCCCTGTAGTTGCAAAGGCAACTACAGGGAAACCCAACAGCACTTCCAACAAAAGACCTAAAAATAGCATCTGCACTCAAAATGATACAGAGGCATTCAAGGAGATGAGCTTAAACGTACAAGTTTTCATTTAGCTCGCCAATGGGATTAGTTTATCCCAACTGAAAAATAGTACATTACAAAGCATTTTTTCTTTATGTTGCTTAGACTTAACATCTGTTTTAATGTTGCCCTGAGGAGACAGCATGAAGTTCAGTCTGTAGGTCTGTTAAGCAGAGCATCACGCTAAACTTTGTGTTAGCATCGTGATCCCGATCAATCCAGCAACTCATTCGTTTTATAGTCTAATATGAAGTTAAATGATCAAACTTACAAAGCTAAAGCAACTCCATATGTTACATCACGCATAATATTTTAGCCTAAATGCTTTGCTGCCTGCAGCAAACTTTAAAGACACGCCCACTCAGAACAACACCAAATTAACAGAAAAGCACAGACTAAAGCTGTACTTTCCTTCCTTCTGTGTTTCTTGATCGTGGTTAGTAATATTTTGTTTCCTTTTATAATACTTTCAAATTGGGACTATCCTATTATTCCCTCACCATACATTCGTTCACTTACATTCATGTTGTCATAGAAAGAATAGAAATAAGTAGAGTGAAATGATACCGAGTTCCATTTAATCTACAAAATAGCTGCAGTTAATCAAAAACATCAGTTTCATTCGTGTAAAAAGATGTCACAAGAACACATAAGATTTCTTTGTAATACATTTCAATGACTTTCAGCATTTGAAGTTTACAGTTTATCATCTAACTCTTATTTCTGTGACACAGTTTGAATCTGAACAGATCAAACATTCCTTACAAATTTAGTGACCGACAGATGTTATTACAGAAATGTGGTTCAACAGTGAGAAAAAAAAAATCTCAATGTTATTTTGGAAAACAAACACATAACAAGACAAACTTTTAGTTAAAAGAAAGTTACTTTTTACACTTATGGTTGCACTTTTAGCCAAAAGACTTCTAAATAATTTTTTCGACCTCTTGTCACATGGAGTCCCAGAGGTGAGGGAACAAAACGTTCTGCTTCAAAGAGGAGCGTGTATCACATGACCAGCGTGCACGAGCGCCCACTTGACTTTTTTTGTATTTTGGCACAGGTGTGGGATTGCAGGACTTTCAAATGTGACACAAACATCAAAGACTAATGCACAACGAGAACAAAAAACTTTATAGATTTTTAAATACACGGTAGGAGGTGAAGTGCTTGTCTCGAGTATGTTGGATGCCAACACCATCAGAGCATAAGATAATGACGTGCAGAGCGTTATCTTGCATAACATCGTATGAAAAAACGTAGAAAAGCTCCACTGAGTTTTAAAAACTGAGCAGAGATGAGTTAGCATAAACATCAGCTCCGGATGGTGTATTAGTTTTGGATCTTAAGAATGCTCCTCTTCTCCAGATCATTCATCTCTTTGAGAATCAAAGCAACGTTGTAACGAAGCTCCTGGAATTTAGACACAGGTACCTGGAAAAGACCACAGAACATTTAGCACACCCACAAAGTGTTCAGCATTAAAAATAAGCACACAGCCACATTTCACAGCTGCTTACTGTGTGTCTGAATGTCTAAAAATGCAAGAAATAGTCATTAAAGTCATTAAAAACCTGGATTTCTACCTAAAGGATGTAGATGGACTCCTTGCAAAATGCTGTGCTCTAATACTTAAGCCCAGAGTTTCATTTGCTGCCTCCCTAATTTCTGTCCCTGTCATCCCTGTGTTTAAGTCTCAAGCTGCGTGTGAGTCACCATCTGTTTGCAGCGGTCAGACTGCAAACAGACACAAGTGCTAATTAAGAAGAGTGTGCTGAAGAAGGAAGAAGTCATCTCGTCTGTTTGCTATTCATCCTCCCTTCACTTCCAGAGAAGCATGCGTCAGGTGGAGATGAGCTGCACCCATAAAGAAAAACTGCACATCGAATGTTGCTGCTGCTTATCTTCTAATTCTGCTGTAATCTGATTACGTAATCGCTGCACATCCGTAGTAGGCGTCCTCGTCCCTGCTTCTGCTCCGACCACACTGGTAGTCAGCTTTGAAAGCAGTTGTGGATTCTAGTTTGTCATTTTGAGGCTGATGCGGAGTATGGCGCCCCCTGCTGAATAAGACGTACTATAGCATTACACCGTGGCAGTGAGGCTGCCGCACATCCTGGTGGAGTGCATCTATTTATTCTTCATTTTTTTCCTGTTTTAAAACTGACACTTTTGCATTCATGTGAATGGATATCAGGCTTTTTTTTACTGTAGTTTTTTTTCTGTAAGCTGATAAAAGAAAAAAATAAGACTCAGAAATGCAACTGTTTTTTTTAGCATCTAACAAAACAATATTTGTAATAAGCACAAGCAAGCTGACTAGCACAGAAATAACACTGCAAACGTATCAGGGGCACTTGGTCAAGGACGGCTTGTAGGTTAGGCTGCCGTTAATAAACGTTACTTCCTCTGTAATCCTGTTATGCAATAACTGAAACAGACCTACATTAGCCCACTGGCTTACAACCAACATGTTTAACACTCTGCTGTGATAATCCAGGAATAACTACCACAGTGCACAACCATCATCAGTCATGTGGAGAAAAAAATCCATATGATGTTAACAGGTTTCTCAAAAGAAAATCATTCAATGGTTAGCTCATGAGAATGAACTCATTTCCAATGCATACTTTAAGTGTAGCTTTGCATGATTTACATTTAAAAGTAATCTTTATTTATCTGTGTACTAGGACTTTATGCAACCCAGTTCCCTTCCACTGTCTAGCACAGGGTCTCCCCCGTTTCAGGCCACCCTCTTGTTTAACTGATATTCTGGCTTCACCTTCATCCACCTTTAGCAGCAGGTGTGTGGGGCTGTTATGCTCACAGCCAGAACTGTGTCTGAGATGACCATATTAAGGATATCCTCGCTCACTGACATTAAGAGCCAACAGTTTTTACAAGGCTCTATGCAGGTCCTTGAAAAACTAAGTACATCCCATGATTCACCCTCGGGAACAACCACTTAAAGTTTTTTTTTTGGGGGGGGGGGGGAATTTATCTATTTCAGCCCACTCTTGACAACACTGCTTCAGTTCATTGAGGTCTGTGAGCATTTGTTAATTCACAGCACTCTTAAGATCCCACTGAAGCATTTCAGTCATGCTCAGGTCTGGATGTTGGCTGGACCATTGCAACACCTTGACTCGTTTCTTTGTAGTTGTTCTGTTGGAGATTTGCTAATGCATAAGACATTTTCAGGAATTTAAAAGGTATTGTTAAATCCATCCATTTTCGTAAATACTTAAAGACAACCACTCATAATTATCCCTACAGCGAAATTAGTACTACCAATTAACCTAACAAGCATGTCAGTGCTAAGAGAGAATCCATGCAGGCACTTTGTCATGTTGGGAAGACAAAGAGGCGAGGAAACCGTCAACGTCTTCTGAACAACTATTACTTTCAACAAGACTCTTAAAAGCCAAAAGACCAAGAGAAAAAAAACCCTCTGAACTGTGGTTTTATGCACAGAAATTTGGCATGTAGATCTATACTGTGGTACTGGTATCGTCATTAAAAGTAAATAAAATGAGAATAAGAAGGGGACTGTGGGTCAGAATGTATTGTGTGTACAATCAGGAACAGGTTACTTGTTTAAATACCTCAAAGCGTTGAAACCTCCCATCTGAAAGTTTCATCTGCATGAGAACAGAAGGCTGCAGCGCTCGGGCTAAAGAGCTGTTTCGACACAGAAAAGCAAAAACATCATCACAAAGTCTAAAGAGTAGGACTTTAAAATGAGTGCAGTAGAATCTTTTGTAATCTTTCACTAAACCCTTCTTCCTGACTTATTTCTATAAGTAAGAGACGGTGGTAAGAGATGGTATTGTTCCAGGAAAGCTTTAAAACACTGTGTTAGTAGGCAGTTAACCATTAACAAAGATTTCTTGCACATATTGCCATATTGTTTTTGCAGTTCGTTTAGTATGTTACCTTGTAGAAATGGCAACATCCACTCTCCATTTCAATTCTTCAAGTGTGGGGAGATGAGGATCCTTCTGAGAGGTGGCCGCTTCTAGAGCTGCACGGCTGAAAACACAAACAGCACAGGAAATAGAACCTGATTGTAGCACTGCTCTGAGATACCAATCCTGGACATGCCTGAGGTTGTAAAATCAACATACTGATTTCCAAAAACCACACTGGAGAAATCTGTGATGAAGTCTTCAGGTATTCTAATAAAAGAAGAAAAAACACAATAGAAATAACCTCTTCAGAATCTGGGGGGTGGGGTTGCGGAGATAATAAATGAAAACAAAGAGAGGTGTGGAAAAAAAATGATTCCCTCACCTTAGCTCCTTCAAATCTTCCTTAAAGATCTAATCAATGCCCCATCAGGCACCACAGAAAAGGAATGAAGATGTTAGTTAAGAAGTCTGTTTCAGTGAATATAATTTCCAGTGCTTTAGCATCAGCTCACCTCCTGTTTAAGTAACGCTGTGGGGATGCGGATGGCCTCAGACAGCAGTCTGTGGATCCCAGCTACGATGTGACAGAGCCTCTCCTGCGGGATGACACTGCTCTCTGCTATGGACTTCATCCCCTCTGTGCAGTCCTTTCCCTCCAGGGCACTGACCACAGCTGGACAGGGAATCATTCACAGTCACATTAAATGCACTTATCCGGCATCTTCAACTGCTAACACTTGGTCTGAATATCAGCAGAAGATCTTATCACGACATAAACATCCTGGGAGGCTGAGGAGGTCACAACTATACTGTGGATACTGTTATTGCTCCAGTTTCACAATAAACTTCACCAAAAGGCGTTCAGTTTTATTGTTTCAGGGTACGTATTCGAATAGACACAGTATAATACGATTATTTAGTTCTTGCTATTTTTTTCTGTTTTAGACTTTATTTACCTTTCAGTATTTTTCGGAACAACTCTTGGTCCACATCCTTCAAGTTTTTTGACAATGACTCGACTTCCGGTGGTATTCTGCCTCCCAGAAAGCTCAAAGAGTCCTTTGAATGGCTGGAAGACATGCCTCGGTGTTCACTAACATACAGAATTAACAGACAAAAAGATGAGAAATTGGTGTTAGAGAGGGGTTTGTCTAGCTAGTTTTGTACTTGTGCGACAGCTTCCGCCTTCATGTCACATGACTCTCATTCCGCGGAGTCTCGCGGTGAGAGCTTAGCTCGTCGTTTAGAGGAAAACGGATTTGCAAATGGAGGCGATAGAAGTGGTCTCTTTTTGAACAACCAAAAGGTAGGATTTTTAATATCGATAGCTTCTTAGTTACAGCTTAGACCTGTTCACATAGCGTTCACACATGGCATTTGTTGGGAAATGGGAGTTTCAGATCGTTTTGTGTATTAGCAAACGCTACATAGATATTTCGGAGGATTAGCAGCAAGCTAAAGATGTTAGCTTGTGTTGTGATGTCAGAGGCTTATGCTCGCGTTTTCTAAACACGATACTGTTTATGTAAGTTCTACTCAAGCTAATGGAGCTGGCTTTATCAAAGCCTTTATATATGTGTGCGAGCGCGCACGCGCGCGCGCTTTTAACGCGCGGGGTTATGTTTACCGTAACTTGAAGTATTCAGGCTGTTTACCAGTTACTTTGAGTCTAAGCTGTGCCAAATAACAGAGCCAGCAGTTGATTATGAGCTTTATTATTAGCACAGTTGCTAAGTAAAAAGCATTCATAGTAGGTAGCCTAACTAGTTTTTCCATTAAAGTAAATCGGTAGATGTTTCTTCTTACTGATGCTTGGACGAAAAACAGGTTTTCACCATTAGTGACTTTTTTTAGTATCTGAACAATCAGAGTTAGATTTATTGACCAAGTACATGTACACATACAAGGGACAGGAGTCCGTTTTTTTTTCTTTGATCCCAGTATAAACAGATTAGACATGCACAGTACAAACAATAAAAAAACGTGTGCAGTGGAGCAAATATGTTAGAATAAATTATATAATAATTTATTAACTCGAGAGATGAACCAGTATCACATCACAATTTGGCAAAGAAACAATTTTAAATTGTAGTCAAAGGAGCTTGCAAAGAAAAGCTCACCCGAAACTCTGGCTGATTGGGACCCACACCTTGGCTCAGCCATTAGAGGATCATCAGGGGGTCCTTTTGTCCCTCTGCGGGGGGATACTCCCACTAGGTTTTAATCTGGGACTCCCCACCATTTGGCCTTAGAACTGAAGAAGCTTCTCGAATGAGAGGTGAAACGTCTTCAAGTAACTTAAAGAAGTCCAGACGCTTTTCTTTGCAAGCTCCTTTGACTACGATGACCTGGATGACTGAGAACCTTCACAGACAATTTTAAATTGTATCTTCAGGCACTTTGTTACTAGCAGCCTGTTACAAAAACATGAGCAGAACGCTAGTCAAAAACCTGGCATATCTCACAGTGTTTTAAGTAGAGATGGCACGATACCACTTATTTTTTTATGTCCGATACTGATATCATAAATTTGGATATCTGATGATACCGATATGAATCCGATATAGTGTGCTTTTTAATCAATAAAGCAGTTTTTTAATATCTTGCTGCATTTTGTATGAGTTCATACTCAAGTTCATACTAAAGCTATTTTGTTATACCTGTATGCAAAAAATACACTGCACCCAAAATATTTCATAGTTCAGCAGTACTGATCAATTTAATAAACTTAAATCCTCCATCCTTCCTATTCTGGTATTTTAATGAGTACTTAGCAGAAATATTAAACAACCTAACTAACAGGGTTGCCAACTCCCAGCAAAAAAAAAGAAAAAAAAGAGATTTAATAGTTACTATATAAATAGTGGACTTCTATACATTTTACACCAGATTAACTTTGGGTGTAAGATTAAGATAATTATTTATTAAAAGCTAGACATTTAAAATGAGAATAAGAAAGAAAGGTATTTCTTTGTGCCCCCCTTTCCCCTGATTCGTTGAAGACGTCATTAATAAAAATATGTTGATGCGGAATTTTATCGTCGACGCGTCATATGCGAAAACGATGTAAACGTGTTTTTGTAGCTGCAATACACTACAGGAAGTTATGGGGGCAGTATCGCTTATATGGTCTGGCCAGACTGCGCGCAATACTAACGAAGAAGAACGTAGCTGCGATCCGCAAAACAAGTTAGCTTACCTGTCGGAAGCTTCTAAGAATAATTCTTGTGAAGCCAACACCATTTCAGTTTTGTTAGCTAATGAGTAAAATACGATAATAAAACATTAAACAGGAGTACCTACACTGTCTCTTAGTTTATTAATATTAGCTGTTATTCTGAATTGTATACACCTTCCACCTTGTGTATTTTTGATAAATATCGAACCGTGACCCCAAAGTATTGTCAAATAATCGAGATCTCAATTTCAGTGAAAATAATCGTGGTTATCATTTTTGCCATACTCGAGCAGCCCTAGTTGCACCCCTAATAAACAGTGGCATCAACAGTTGTGTTCACAAACAAGCCTTATGAAGGTTAACACATGTACAGTCCAGCATAACGACCTTGCATAATGTATTTATTTGAAGGTGTATTGAAACATAGCCCTGCCTATTTATTACCCTCCTCCTTTATTTCAGATACAGATTTACCATGTCTGAATCTTTGTATGAGAAGTTTTTGGCCCCGGAGGAGCCTTTCCCTCTCCTCTCCCAAAGGGCCAACCTGAGTGATGTGGGAACTCTGGATGTCAGCGATTTTGGCTGTCAGCTATCATCGTGTCATCGAACGGATCCTCTGCATCGCTTTCACAGTAACAGGCAAGTACAGAATGACTGTATTTGTGTTTGTACATGTATCTACTGTGCCTGTATACCCCTATTTTGGAGCTCTGTAGTGGTGTGGAGCCTACAGTGCTGAGGATACAGACCTGAATGACATCCCTGTTGCCTTTAACACTCTTGAGTTCAATTCGATTCAGTTTTATTTATACAACACCAAATCACAACAACAGTCCCCTCAAAGTGCTGCTACTGTAAAGTGTCTATTGTTAGCCCTCTATCTGTGTAAGAATAGGAAATTCTAAGTGGCTTGCTAAGCTAGCAGCCAGTCTTGTTGCTGGGGGACTGGAGGAATCCCAGCAGTGAGAGGTTTCAGATTTTCACAGCTCATATTTACACCTCAGTTTGTTTGTTTTTTAAACTACAAAAACCCTTAAAGAGTAGACACAGGATCTTTAATGTTACTGTGTAACAATGATGGGATTTCAGTAGAGTTTGGTAAATTACCACTCTTGGTGGTGCAAATTAATCCTTGGCTGATAGATAAAGTATCTGTTAGCTGTCGCTCTTTTGGGACTATCCAGATTCTTTTCTAAAGGAAGTAAATGCATCAGATAAACTCTGTGTGCCACAGATGTGCATGAGTGGTATGCCCTGTAAATGCAGAAGAACTTTAAATTGGAACATCCTGTTGCCTGTTTCCAGTCTGCTTGGCAAATTGGAAGAGTTTTGTAACCGTATGTGGAAAGTTACAGATTATACTCCTCTGCAGCCAAAATGCTTCCACATAAATGCAGTCAAACGTGACTCATTTACTAATGCTAAACTTGTTTAAATTATTCTAATTGTTTAATTTGGAGTAGCTGCTAATTTTCTGACAGCACCTCTTCATAAACTACAGAGTTCACATATTTTTTATGAAATTTGCTGATTTCACATCATATGATGTTCTCTTGGATTAGACACATTCCCAGTAACAGGAATTCTATAATGCTGCAAAGTAAAGTTAAATTTTTTTATGCATATTAAAAATTCACACAAGTAATATATATTTTTTAATTTGCATTTCATTCGCAATATGCCATTGAAAGTACTGTGACTCATAATGTGCACCAGTAAAATGTGTATAACTAGGGCTGGGCGATATGACCCAAAATTCATATCTCGATATTTTTTAGCTGGATGGCGATATAAGATATATATCTCGATTTTTTTTTTAAAGCCATAAGTTAAGAACAAAAAGAGAGTTCTTAGTCACACTGTGTCCCAGATGTCACACGGGCACTTTTATTTACATACAGCGTAGATTACATGGAAATTACTCAAAAATAAATTATCAGCATTTATTAAATAATCATGGTCCATAAATAAAAGAAAACAATGTTGTTTTTGTGCATAACAAAAAGCTCACAATTGTGCAGTCAAAATGTAAACTAATAGACGCTGAGCATAATAACAAAGAGACAGATTTCACAGCTGCACCACGTCTCTGAACAGGTGCCATTTGTGGTCCTTATACACACACAGTACGTATCACTCCGCGAGGCTCCTCCCCGGTAGCCGTAATCCTCCGACAATCCATCAAGCGGTGCAGCTCCGTAGCTTAGCAAAGTCATATTAAAACATTTTTTGACAGATTGCTGAGCGCTGTGTACCACATAAAATCGGTTCGCGGTCAGTAAGCACAACCAGAATTCATACATAAGGTGCACTGTCGATTTTTGAGAAAAGGAAAGGATTTTAGGCCGTGCAGCCCCGCCGTCCAGCCCCACGCACGGTAACTCGCTAACGGAGATTTTCCGCTTTCATCTTGTCATTGCCTGCAGGTGAAGCTATGGGGGAGGCGGAGTTGTGTTCAGTGAAGGAGAGGCGAGGCCGAGTAACGTTGCGTAGAGACAAAAGTGGACGAAAGAGAGGCAAACCTGCGGCTCCACAAGTATAATTATAACGTAACATAGACTATATCGATATAAACGATATTGTCACATCTTATATCTCGTATGAAAATATATCGATATTTTTAAAAAACTCGATATATCGCCCAGCCCTAGTATACACTTTACATTTCCTCTACTGCTGTCCTGAATTGTTAAATGATGGAATAAGTCAATAGTCAGACATGTAGACATGTCTTAAAAGCAGAATGTCTACATATCATGACCTGTGCTCCATGTCAAAACTGATTCATGTGTTAGTGTTTTCTAGTACTAAAGTTGGAAAAGCACGAAAAACAGGGTACTTGTAATTTTTTTGTGCTTAAGAACACAGCAGCAGCACGTTCATTGCTCTTTGTATGGTTTATTTAGTGAGCCGCAAATGCACAACAGTGACGAGACACAGCTAAAGTTTTACTGCTGTCCACTGCTTGGATGGTTAGTTCGGGGCTGGTGGGGCTGCTTTGACTTTCACGTTA